ACATGAAAGTTTTATGGTTTCAAAAGTGACGGTTACTCTCATTTTTGTTTGATAAAAAAAAATTTTTTGTTCTCCTCCCCCCCCCCCTCTCTCTCATAGCTCGCGCCGGTGTGCGGTAATGGGGGAAAAAATTAAAAACTTTATAAAAAATTAGATACCACGTTTTTTATAATTTATTGTTTCTTGAATAAAGGACTAATAACAGTTTAAATATAATTAAGTTTTTCATTTAAATGGTTGATATTTTTATTCAATTTTTCTATTTCAAGTTTTCCAATAAACGATGAAACAAAAAAATTTGGTTTAATAAATCGAATTATACTTCATGTTTAAAATAAGGCTTAAAAACGTTAAAGTAAAAAAATTGCTGGTTTTTATTAGCATTTTTATACTGTTAGAAAAAAAAAATTAATAAAAAAGAATTAACTAATAATATATTAATTAATTATTATTAGAATTAATAATAACAATTAATTCTTTTTTATTAATTTTTTTTTTTTTAACAGTATAAAAATGCAAAAAAAAGTCAGTAACTTTTTTGCTCTAATGTTTTAAAGCCCTATTTTAAACATGAAGTTTTGATAAACAAAGATAAAAACCAACTTTTCAACTTTTCGCTTTAACAACCTTGTAAAAATTTTCCACGCAGAGATTTAAAGTAATTTAAATTGTTTAAAAAATGTTTTACATTGATAGAAAATCTCTGCGCGAAAGAGCAAATCATCTATTCATCTATCTAATAATAAATTTTGTGCGACATTCTTTATGAAAAAAAGACAGGCAAAACATTTGATCTAAAGCTAAGTAAAAGTTATGGTGTAAAATTTGTACAAGTAAACTATGTGAATAGAAATAGTCTCACAAAGTGGAACCAGCACAATAAAATATGTCAAAATTTGTTAACAAGTATCACAAAATACTCCGTCAATTCTTAAAAATAAAATAAATTTAAAATTAACAGGACATACTTCTATTAATCTATACTTCTATCAATCCAGGGAAGTTATAGAAAAACTTAAAATTCGTATCAAAATTTACATAAATTAGCATCAAAAGCTGTTGTTTTTAAAATCATTAGTTGGTAAATTGATGAAACAGAGAACTTTAATGAAACAGACACTGCATTTGAAAATGATTTTTACTTTACTTCTAAATATCAGGCTGAACCAATTACTGCTCATTATGAACCATTGCTTATTAATGAAAACCAAGATAAAATTACAGAAAAATCAAAAGTTTCATTCAAATTGTTGATGAACTCTTATCAAAGTTAACTTAATACAATAGAAAATATGTCTAAAACTTAAAGAAAAAACATTTCTTAGAAAATTCGCAGGCCTGGACTTCATCTGTTTATAAAATACTGAATCTGTTTATAAAATGGGGTACAGTGTAAATATTGGTAACCCCTCACAAGTCTTTATAAGTCAAATAATGTAATATTCTAAAATTGTTTGCTATATTTAAAAAGATTATAATCTTAAAATTAAAATTGTTGCAAAATATAAACTTTTGAATGCTATGTCTCCACAATCGCTGGTTTGTACATTAATGTTGATTATCTTTAGTGCAAGTCAAGATAAAAATTAAAAATAAAATTGTCATGGAACAGGTATTTTTTAAATGAAATTCTCTTTAATTATAGAAACAGCTTAGAGTTGTGTGAAAGATGACCAAAATTATCCACTTAATAAAAATGGTCTAATTAAAACTAATCACAAGTATTACTATCAAATACAACAACAAACTATGATAACGAAAACAAAGTATTATCTGTTGAAGTAATGGAAACATGACAAATGATAAACTCTGTATCTTTAAAAACATTAAATAAATTTTCATTGTCCAGTTAAACGGTATCATTACCTCTGTCTTCAAATAAAAAATGGTTTTTCTCTACCTGCATTTTGCAGCATAAAGACAATATAATAAGCTTTTGTGTAACACTACTAAATAAAATGTATAAATTTGTGTGAAATTTGTTATCGGGCATGATTTGATGACAAAGGGAAAGAAATGAAAACTTATATTTTGAGAAATAACTGCACTGTTTTGGAATTACGCAGGATCTTACACAAAATTTTAACATGTTTTGCTTGTCATTTTTTGCGTGTGCGCTATAAAATGTAAACAAAGCAACCCATCTATTGCTACAAAAAAAGCTAAGCTAGAAAAAAAGTAATTAAACAACAAAAAAAAAAAAAATCGCGAAAAGATTTTTTTTAAGAAAAAACTAATCACCAAAATGTGAAAAGCAATCACGATACGCTTAATACGAGCCCTGTAAGACTTTTTTATAAGTTCTAAACTATTTAAAACTATTACTTAATAACTTTTTTTAACAACGTCTTTCAACCGAATTCTATTATACTGTTTTTGCAAAACTAATTAAAAAAACTTGATTAAAACTTAACTATTTAATCACGACTTTTTTTTACTTGAAAATCGAAGTAGATATTCTAAAGTTGTTGTGACGTACTAACGTGATTTTTAACGACTAACAATCGAGCTTCAATGGTAAAAAAATAAAATCAAAATGGAGTTGGTTTTCAGTGATTTTGGCTATTGCTTTTTGTTAGCATGCATTTATTATTACAATTTAGTGAAAAAGAAAAAAAACTTACATATTTTTTTTTATGCTCTTTCATATGAGATCATATGTTAGGAGCACTTAGGAAAAAAAACATTTCCAAGCTGTTCTGAAAGATTATTCCTGCTAAATTGATGTAATACTTTTTCTATGTATTTTAATTTCACAAAAAAAATATGAACATTAAAATAGTAAAAACTACATTAAAGCAATAAAAAAAACAACTGCTAAATACATTTTTAATTATTAATTGTAACAAAATTTAGGATATCAAAACCAATTATTCATAAAATTTTTTAAAAAATGTAAACATTGTAATATCAAATAAAAACAACTGAATGATTAGTTAAATAAATTAGTTTAAAAAAAACTCCTTATGGATTTAACTCTAGTAAATTATTTTCTTATACAATATTTCAAAGGAGTATAAATAAAAAAACTTTAAAATTCAATTGCACATTAATGTTTGCAAATACTATATTTTTGTCTGCCCAGTATTATCTTGTTCTATGCCATCAAAATATGATTTTGAGAAAAATGCAATTAAAACTTTAAAAAACCAAAAAATATTCAAATTCAACTTTTCACAAAAATTTGTTTTAAAAAAATTGTTAAGGTCAATTTAAAATACATTTTTTAAAACAATTTTTTAGAAAATTATTGCGTATTCTGTGTTTAAAATAATGATTTTTCATGTTTGAGAATAAATTCCAAACAAATGTTCTATGTTCTTCTAATTTCGTTGTTGTTTTTATTGTTCAAAATCACTTTTTAAATATCAATATTTATGTACATATTATAAATTTATTAAACATTTTACATAATTATTGACGACTGTAAACCAAATTTCATATATTATTTGATTGTTTTCAGAAACAACAATTTATATTAGGATATTAACATGTATAAGTTAAGGGCACATGGCATAACTAAACAAACAAAGAGTTATTTAATCTGAATAGACAGTTTTGAGGCAACAGGATAGTCTGCAGGTTTCTCCTTTCTTTATGATTGCTTACCATTCATCTATTGGATATTGAATTGTTGATGGTGCCTAACAGACTTTAATATTCTTGTCAAACTTAGCAGACTGTATACCTCAGTTGTTTTTTTTATTTTTGGTCAATGCTGCTATGCACTGAAACTACTTCTTAAACACAAGCATGGCTACTTAGAGAAAAATTTTTGAATGATACATCTGGGTGCATATTTTAATAAATGCTTTATCGCAATGCTAATAATACTGTTTCTGTTTTGCGGAATGCAGGAATCAGATCATAAAATGATGTTCTTAAGCTGTGGATATGAGGTAAGCACAGACTTTAAAATTTTTAGGATAGCAAATGCCATATCATTTCCTGATATGCTGGAATGGCCTTCAGACCAGATACAATAATAAACAGTTTTATCCATGAAAAAATGTGCTCTGGTTTTATAAACAGACAGCTTCCTAAGATAAAAGAAGTTTAAGATCTCAGCTTTGGGCAGTATTATAACATTTTGTAAAACAATACAAAAAATAGGATTTCTGGACCTTCTATCTTTTTTGCGCACTTTGCAAGCATCTTTTTTTTTGTTAAATATGATTTGATTTTGATGCTAAGCTCACTCAAAATAACTTTAAAAAAGTACCTTCAGTACTTTTGGTTTTATGATGCTAATCTTTTTTTCTTTTATTGAAAAGAAATATTAAACTCATTTAGAAAATGTCAGAGTATAAATACTTTTTTACTGGTTGAAGTTCCTTTTGCTGACAAAATTCTTGGTAGATACATTAATACAGTGGATTAATCAACAATTCAGATCCAAAATTGCATGTCAATAGTGTGAGTCTATAGCAGGAATATTATTAATGAGTTCCCTGATGCCATTTCTGACTGCATCAAAAAATTTATTTTTTGAATGTTTGCCTTGTTTTCTTGAGGTAGGGGTGTCTGTATCCATTTGTAAATGTTTATAAGAATATGAAACTCTTTGTTGGCTAATGTTGAGAATTGATATATATATAAAATGATAACTTTTGAAATTTTCATATAATTTTGCTTCACTTGAGACTCAACATAATATACCTTAAAAAAAAAATTAATATTTTATATGTTTAAAGGGCTTGAGCAATCCTGACAAAGAGTTATAATAAAAAAAAATTTAATCTATGATATTTTATGTTATTTTATTTTATAGTACACATTTAAATATGTATTAAAATGTGTACTATAAAATATTAAGGGGACACTAGCAGATATTTTTTTTTAATGTTTTTTTTGAAACCACCATGTACACTTCTTTATATTTTGAGCAGTATTTATGCAAATAAAGCAAAACTTTTGGATAAGATGCATTTTTTAGTAGAAAACGTTTATTAAAGTTTGGTATGAGTTATAAACATAAAGCTTTTTCACAGAAAACAATTTTTTTTCAGGTATTCTTTTAAAGCCATATAATTGAAATTCACTCTACTATTAGATTAAATAATTAAATAAAATATTTGCTTATTAATTTACCAGTTATTTAGATTAAAAATGTTTATAATGAAATAAATGAATCAAACCTCATCTAAAGCTGATGCTGCAACCTTTTCATCTTCTAACTCCCACTAAAAAGATTCAATTCAGTAATATAATTGTTTACAATTTGTGATAAATTTACAAAACAAAACAAAAAACGAAAAAATTAGGAACTGTTTAATAATATATATATAAATGCTTGGCAAGGAATGGCGAGTTATCACCAGCACCTGTTTTCACATCAGCATCAACCAGTTTGTGGGCAAAAAAATTCCCATGAAATAAAAAAAAAAGTTAGATTAACATTTATTAAACTTAGTTGGATTTTATATTTTATTTTATTTGAGTAAACAAAAATAGTATTTTATATGAGTAAACAAAAAAAAAGTAAAAATGCAACATTGCTTATTCAAAACAAAATTGAATTTTACAAATTATTATGTAATTATGCAATAATCACAAATGTATATCTGAAATGTGATTTGGAAGTTGGATGCATTATTTGGGTTTTAACTATTAACTTGTTTGTCTTTTCTCTAAGTTTTATAATTTTTATTTACTTTTTTATTGGTACTCATAGGTTGTATCAAGGTATCTCAGGGATGGAGTACCTTGATACAAATTTCTAATTTTACTTTAAATAGTATCACGAATTTAATATGCTATATTTTGATTTTAAATTTGTAAGTATAATTTTTACCTAAAAGTTGCACCAATTGCCTAAAAAAAATGTGTTAAAAAAATTGTTATAATGTAAAAAATATGGTGCCATACTCTCCCCTACTAATTTGCAACTTTCTAAATAAACTAGTCTTAAAAAGTTAAAAACATGATTTAATAGTTTTTCATTCAAAATCTTATCCTGATGCTTTAATTTGATATGATGTAAATAATATCAATATTTGAATTAATTTGTGAAAACAATTCACGCCAATTAATGTTTTACACTCAGATATGTACTCAAGAAAAAAAATTAACAAAGTACCAGGAGTTTTATACTAAAAAGCAAAGACTTTCCAATAATGAATAATAGATAGATCTGCTTTTTTTTTATTCACTTTATTTCTATTTCTAAATTGGCTTTATTGTTCAACTAATAAAGAAGAAATTCCTATTTTTATTATTTTTCTAATTAACAATTATCGTGACCAATTTTATTTTTATAAAATATAAAAATAAAATATATAAAAAAAAAATATTATATAAAATTCATTTTTGTTTTGTTTTTACATAGCATTAAAAATATTCTTTCTTAGAAAAATAAATCTAATGACAATACATTTTCCATATACATATATAGAAATTTGAAAAAAAATATATATATATATCAAGCCTTCCCAGGAAAGGCGTGCGGGTTTTTTTTCTCGTATGACCACGCAATTACACTATTTTAGAAAACGTGAACACGGCTGTTTGCAAGTTTTATAATAATGTTGAAAAAGTTTCAAAAACAAAAAAAACAAAAAAACAAAAAAAAAACTAACAAAATAAAAAGAGATTGAAATAGAAAAAAATAAAAACAAATTAATAATTTAAATAATTTGTGTACTGTTTTTATTTTTGTTTCTTTAGAGTTACATTCAGCAACAAAAGTTAGATAAGGCAAAGCAAAAAAAAAAAACAGTTTGAAGTCTTCAATAAAAAGAATGATTTTTCTTTTCTTAACTTTTTTTCAGAGGATAGCAAAAATACAAACTGCAATGTGTTTGTAAAATTTATTTCTATAATTTTAATGTAACAACAAGGGTTGAATTAAGCGAATGCAAAACGCAAAATCTGGAAAAATATCTAGTATTCAAAATTTTATTTTATACAAAACCGTGTTCCTTGTTTTTAAGGGGAGAATCAACTTAAATTTGTTAGCAAAAAAATAAAAAATAAAACAATAAACTTACGATTACAAAAGTAATAACACTCTAGTAACCAACTGCATTACAGAAGTAATAACACTATAATAGTGTTATTACTTTTATAACGCACTTATAACTTTTAAAATTCATTCTTTGTTCAAGCAACATTAGTATTTCCAAATTTTTATTGAAGTAGAAAAATATCTAGAAGAATAAAGTGGATGTTCAAATAATATTAAAACTAAAGTAAGTTATAACAACGTGACAAACAACTTTATTAAAGCGTCTAGTATTAAAAGTTTAGCATTATGAAAAAAGGTTACTAATGGACCGTAAAAACGCGCGTTAATTTTAAAATTAACCAATAAAATTTTTTTATTGGTTGATTTTAAAATTAACGCGCGCTTTTACATAATGTTTTTCATAATGCTATAGTTTTTATAAATTACTTTTTTATAACGTTGTTTAAGTGATATGTGAAAGTTCCTGAAATTGTTAATAATATTTGAATATCTGCTTTATTTTTTTTCTAGATGTTTTTCTACTTTTAATAAAT